ATATTATTTTTTTTTTTTTTGAATTTATTTTTTTATAGAGAAAATGCAATTAAATTAACACCATATCAAACATTTTTTGTACAAACAGGTGTTGCACGAGTCAATTGTGTTGATTGTCTTGATAGAACAAATACAGCTATGTATTCTATAGCAAAATGTGCTCTTGGATATCAGGTAGAACATCCGAATTTAGATTTAATTCAATAGTTATTAGAAAATGTCACATTCAGATAAGAGTCTCACATACTCTCATATGAATATGCAGTGAATATAAAAATTTTTTCCAATGTCATGAGCGCTAGAGAGAATCAAAATAGTGATTCGACTAGAGAATATGGTTTTCAAAAGACTATTTTTGTTTAGCATCCAAAACGTGCCAAATAAAATTTCATTTGGACTACATAGAATGATCGAGTAAACAATTCTCTTCAAAATGAGATGGATCCCGAGTTTTCTGCAACGTTTTTTTAGCTTGAGATACAGCAATCTTACGGAAATCTCTAAACTCGGTTTTTTTTTCCAAAAAACTATTTTTCGACCTTCAATTAATTTAGTTGTCTGTCTTTGACTAAAGACAGATCATTCTTGTGATTTGTTTTTCTATTTGAGATAATATTCATTTATTTTTAGTTATTCGCTATGGGTCTTACTGATTCACCACATTTACAAGAAGATTCTGCAGCTGAATTGTAAGTTTATATGATTTATCTTAAATCAATTATTATTCAATCATTGATATTTCTAGAGTAATAAAACAATTATTTGAACATTCTGGTGATATTCTAGCACAACAATATGCTGGTAGTCAATTAGTTCATCGAATCGATACATATAAAAAATTAACACCAGCTTGGTCAACACAATCTCGAGATATTGTACAAACACTTTCACGTTATTATTCAAATACATTTTCAGGTATTTATATATATATATACAAGCAAAATGGGACACATTCATCTTTCATTGGATTTTAATTCTTTACAAAGATTAGTTTTTTGAATAAATTTTAAAACCCATCATCTTCGCAAATAATTCAAAGACATACATAAAAACAGTGTTCTGTTTCAATGAAGTTTTGATTAAAAAAAAAACTCAGAAAATTTTCTAAAAATCAACAGAATTATATAGAATCTGACTGATTGCCGTTGTCAAGTTATTTAGCTTATACGTTCAACACTCTTTTATTCTAGCACGAACTTTAGGATAAACTTTACAGTACGAACTGCATCTAAGATGAAATTTTCATCAAGACTGGGTTCCAAATAACCGGTTGTTTAGAGATCCTATCAAATCTTGAAACAAAATTTTTTTTGTCTTATCATCATCTAGAAATTCTGAAGAATTTGTACTGTTTGGAATTCGTTGATTTTTTTTAGCATATCTTGAGTAACTTAACATATATGTTACATATAAAAATTAGCCTTAGGAAAGTATTTTAATTTTGCAAAGTCATGTTACTAACGAATGATTTTGTCTATATGTTATTCAATTTATTCATTTATTTAATCTTCTCTAATAGATGCAGAAAAACAACATTCAATGAATTTATTTTTGGGTATTTTTCAACCAAAAATAGGTCGACCACATTTCTGGGAATTAGCAAGTGATTATCATTTGCATGATCCACGAATAACACCTAGTTATATAGCACCACAGTAAATCAATAACGAAAAAAAAAACAATCTTTGAGAAAATCTTTTCTTTTTGTTTGTATTTTTAAGTTGTACAAATATTCTTGGTGATGATATATGGTTTTCATTACCACTTGCAGCTGAACAAGGTTTTGATTGATTTTATTTGAAATAAAAGAATAATGGTCTTTTTTTTTTCTTCTTTAGTTTTGAAATCAAACAAAGATTGTCTTGAAATTGTTTCAGTTAAACATAATGATCCACTTGTTGATGGTTTTAATGAATATTATCGTCCAAATGAATTAACAGTATTTGAAGAAAAATTTGAATGGAATATGGATTCAACTAATAAGTAAAAATAAATCACACATATTTATTCAATAGATCATTAATATGAATTTTTGTTTTGTTTTAGAGATTTAGCATATAACTATACAAATATTCGTGAATTTACACCATTTTCTGTTCGAGATAATAAACAACGAAAAAGTATGGTTGGTCTCAGGTAAAATTTCATTTCGGTTAAGTTAACAATTTTAAAAGATCGTTTGTTCTCTCAGAAAATTTCTTATTAATATTAACATCTACATAATTGAATAAGAGTCACGACAGATCCTGATCAAAAAGAATTTGAACGAATTTGTAAAAGTACGATATCTCGGTAGCAATAAGATAAGTTCCTGAATTCTTCTCAGATTATTCAAAACTCATTTTAACCTACTATAGTCCCGATTTAAAAGCAATTAATCAGTTGAATGGCTTCCATTGTCCTCTTCACCTAAAAACTGCATGTACTATTAAATTTCACACGAATATAAAACGTTTATTGCGTATTAGTCTAGGGTAATAGCCGTTAGAAAAAAAGGAACGATTAAACTGATTATATCGACTCCGAAATAGAACAGATAACAATTCTCGTAAGACAAATCTATATGTTTCTCAAAAGAATTCACCTTGTATTCTTCTGCTAATCATATCACATGAATTTTTAAGTTATAAAAGAAAAAAACAAGACATAGTTAAATTATTATTTCCAAAAAATAAAGTAAATAACATGTATTTAGTCTTACGGCTGATGTTCAACAACGTGCACTTCTTCCATCATCAGCATCATTATCAAATCAATCTCAAAATTTAAATCAAGATCAAACATCTGATGAAGATATACTTGATGATACAGATACTGATGAAGAAACATCTAAAAAACAATTACCAATAACAAATAAAAAGTCTTTTAAATTAAAATCAACTAATAAATCAATTAATGATGATTCAACTAATAGTGCAATACAAGTAAAACGTCTTTTAAATATAATATTTCCAACAACAAATGATGTATATGGTTTTCATTTGGATGAACCATCAACTGAATCATTACATTGTTATGAACAATATGCAAAAATAGCACGTGATGCATGTTCATTATCAACAACATCAACAATAAATAATCAATATGTTCAGGACTCATCTCTATCATCAAATCGATCAATGTCATCAAGTTCAAGTTTTGAAATGTAAAACTTTATTTTTCAAAAATACTTAAAAGGACATCGTTGAATAAGATTGTAAATCTGTCATTGACTAGATTTCATTTTCAATAGAATAGAAAGATAGAGTATGAAATTCTGCACATTTTATTTTTTTGTTGCATGTAAAAAATGATTTTTTCGAGAACTAGCGAGGGAACATATTTAACTGTCAAACACCGGTAGACTTCACATTGTGGCTACAAGCAGGTTAAAACGAATCGCGCCTATGGCCTATTATTGAAGTGTTATGAATGTTTTAATGAATTTTTTACTGAGGACAAGGCATTTTCGAAAAATCAAAAACCAAAAAGTTTCAAGTCGAAATTATGTCTATAGGTACGTCTGATAGTTCTGAAAGTTTCAACGAAAGCAAACATGTCTTCC